GGGACAACTACTATTACTACTTCTAGTGAACACGTGACTATTCATCATTTTTCCTTCCCAGGTCCCTATGGACCGTACCGATTGCAGATTCTACTTCCCACGCCGGAAAACTGAGGTCACTAAATAAATGGCTGCCACAAGCCATGGGGAGGAGCAGTCTGAGAACCTGCAGTAGTAGAGTGGCAATGCCACACAACTTAGAAGCAGTTACTGACATCTAACATATTAGGCCCTGCTTGTCATTAGGTGAGTCTGGTACGTTTCTGGCAAGAGAAAATGTGAGAAAAGGGAAGAGGGAACCTCAGTCTGTCCAGAATTGTGGCCTGACAATAGTTACAGAAATAAACCTGTTTGTAAGATTGCTGCATTTTCCTTGCTGCTGTTTCCAAACCCATCTATATAAATAGTCTAAAAACCACTTCAATATGTTGACAGGCTTCAGACTTCTTATTCTGACCATCAACATGACCCAGGATTCAAGTTTACCAAATACATGTCAGCAGTAACTGTGGAAAAAGTTGTCAGAACAGAAGGAACAAAGGGCAGGGATCAGCAACCATTCGTAACACAGCTAAACATGAGTTAGACTTAGCTCTGTGCAAACCATTTAATGTGTTCACACACCATAGGTTTAAGTAGAAAACAATCCTTCCACAAAACAGACAGTAAGAAGAAATTAGTGATAAGGCACTTTTCTTCTTGCCACTTGGAAGCATCCAGCTTGCTCCACGGTTAGCTGCTTGATGAGAGCAGAAACACATCTTGCAACACACTGAAACACAGAAACCCCATTAGGGAGTAGAGTCCTCTTAGCGTGCCCGGCTCTTCATTTTCTGCCTTGCTCTCTTTCCAGGTCTCTTCTGCAAAAAAAAAGGACAATATTTCTTTCTGTGTCCTCAATATCCATTCTAGCTCTAGAGCTTGCAGAGCATACTTGTCAAGAACTCTATAGAGAGGGACATTTGGAGACACAGATAGCAAAAAATATTACTTGCTAATTCTCCCCATTCACTTCCCTGCTGAGATACAAAACCACTATCCTCAACTCTGCCTGCAACTGAATCAAGCTCAGCTCTGAAAGACAGGCAGTATCACTTCCCGTTGCTGGAGGCACCCTTCACATACTCAGCTCTCCCTCCCAGACCAGGACTGGCTTCAAAGCCAACTCAGATCATTTGCATGCAACATTTTGCTTACATTGAGGGCCTTTTTCCCTCTTTTTCCTCCTTTTCCTGGGCCCTTGTTGTGAGCCACTTTTGAACTGAAGCTGGATACATCATTAAAACTCTCCTGTGTGTTCCACTTGGAGCCTTTCTTCTTCCCACCAAAACCAAACTTCTGATTCTTGTATCGTCTTTTGGCATTTGGTCTGAAAAACAACCAAACAGCATCATGGCCTATATTCCTTTCCTCAGGAATACCCAAGAAGACACATATATCTGGTGATGGACTTCCATTAGCCATCATAAACCTTCCCCCTCTTACTGAAAAGGCAAAAAATAGCACATTTCAGTCTCCGTTACATTCTGGCCACAGTTTTCCTCCTCTGTAGGGTCCAGAAAACCACCTTGGACTTGTTTCAATGTTAATCACAACAGCTTTCTCCTTCCACAAAATGATCCCCCAAAAAACTAAAAAAAAAAAAATAATAACCAGAGATTCTGCATTTGAATTTCCTTCTTTTCTGGTCTCACCCTTTCTTTGTTCGTTGATTTGCATTGCCTTTTTTATTCCCCTGAGATGACGTCTGCTCTTCATCTAGGAAATCCAGCTTGTCAGACAAACCTGCAAGAGCAAAGACATGACAGCTACCACCACAGGAAATACAAATTTTCAGTCGAAGCAAGTAATAGTAAGAAATCACCCTCATTGAAGAACAGCTATCTGGGAGGATTTTCACTAGCACAGAATTCTGCACAGCTGCAGTCTTTCAAGCTTAGTGCCCAGCACTACAGATTGACACCACACATCACATGGCCGTACACTTGCTCATACATTGCTGCTCCCACTACACATTTGCTCTCTTAGAGAACTTTACCTTTCTGGTATTTTTTAACTGCATTCAGCATATTCTTTTTCTCCTTTTGTCTTCTCTGCAGAATCTCAGTTTGCACCTGGGATTAGAAGCAAAACGTTAGTGCTGTCCTTAGTAGTGTCCCACACATAACTTCAATAGCTCCTCCTCACCTTCTTGCCATATTTTCTCATTGCACGGAGCTGTTTCGCTTTCTCAGACCTTTCCATTGCTTCCTGTTTACTCTTCAGCTTCTGTCGAATCTTGTTGGGGGAACAGAAAAAATAACATTTATCAGTAATGCAGAAGAAAATATGAGAATTTTATGTTTGCTGTGCAGTCCTGAAATCAATAATTATATGTGAACTATTAATGAGTGTAAAAAAAGGAAAACATCTCTCAATCAGATAATGCTTTATAGGGCACAACATTATTTCAGCTGAGGGCTGGAACAGTTATTACAGAACCTCCTGAACTGATTTGTAGCCAAAATCTCTAGAGACAAGACAGAGCCTTATAATGGGCTGTAACAGAACCAAAACATAAGTGTATCTTGTCACATCTTGTCAGCTTACTAAGGTCTATGTAGAAGATTTGAAAGTTTCTTTCTTGTCATTTAAAGCACTGAAGAAGAGTCAACAATCCTTTCATGCCACATCTTTTTCGTTCCCTCCCTGTTAATAAACGTTTCTATAAAGATGCCACATTACAAGGGATTACGACGAGTTCAACCCAGACCATCTGGCTTCAGTCTGTGACTCCACTAACAGATAAAAACTCTGTTCTTCCAACAGAAGCCACCAAAAGAACAGTAATGTGCAGAACTCACTTAAGCCTCAGCACAACCTAATTATTAATATTCCTCTTTTCTAAGAGTAGTCTATCAGCCAGCAAAACAGTGATCAAGTCATCCATGAACCTCCAAATTAGCTTCTAGCTCATGTATATTTAACTTATACAGTGTAGTATCTTTTCCAAAACTAAAACAAGAGTTAGGCTTCCATTTTAAACAAAGATCACAATCGAAAAGCAAGTTCACAAAATTATTTTCCATGCAAATCTGCCTTACTACCCAGGATAGATTAATTCAGCTGTGAAAACACAGTTCAAAATCACAAAGAACCAAAACAGGCTGACTATCAACAAAGGGTAATACTTAAATAGGTAAAAAGTATCATGTTAATGCCACAGTTGACTGCAGTCTTGGGACAAAGAGCATAAACACGACCAACTTCACTACTACTGTTACATGTATGGAGAATTTGCTTCCATTTTTAATATTAAATACATTCAGGACAGAATATAGTAGAAAAGAATATATGCTTTTCTGCTTTATGTTCCAATCTGTTATGGAAGTCCACACACTGCACTGAAATACCTATTCCTGTGAAAAACAAGCTTTCAAACACAAACATTGTCACGGGCACTTGTCAGAGATGAAGTATTCACACATCACACCTTCAAGTCAATCCCTAACACAGGCTAAAAGCAGCACATAACACAGGACAGCGAGCCATTATTCACTGAACATACCTTCTGCATTTGTTGGTCTGATTTGGCCATCTCTGCAAAGTAATCATCTGGCCTTCTAGTAGGAACCTGGAGCTTATGCAGCCTTGGTAGGGCTTCCAGGACTGCTGCCTGCGCCTGCCGGTAACTGGGGAGACAGCACAGCACCAGCTCTGTCACTGGCATTGGGCATCTCACAACACCAACAGGAACTCTGCTCACATAAGCTAGCAGATACAGAGATCTAGCAAGCATTGATCCAGAATTGTATCAACATTCCATGCTACTATAAGCAATTTAGGTGCCAGTACAGTATTAATGCTTACATCTTGCACATATACATTTACCTAGTTTCCAGTTACAGTTTTGTATGGTGAATTATAAAAGGCAAGGCAAAACAAGAGAACTGTAATAACATCAAAGCAAATTCACAAAGAAAAAGCCATACCCTGTGCTAAAACCACAGTGCTGCAATCAAGGAACTTTTTAAATAAACTTTTCAGTAAAAGATGGAAGTCTGCTGTGAGGAAAGAAATTCTTTCCAGTGACAAGTTAAATATACTGTCATTAAAAACATTCAGAGCCACCAAATGTGGCCCAAGAGTGCCACAGTGACAGCCAGTGTGGCTGTCAGCAGCACACCTGCAAAACACAACACCCAAGCACGCAGCATTATGCCAAAACCCTGCAAGAAACCTCTCTTTTTGACACTTACAAGCTCATTTCTCTCTGGAAATCATTCTCAGGGTCAACAGCGTCTTTGTTAGAAGCACTCTGTGAAACGGGGTCCACGACCTGGCCCAAAGTCACATCCAGCCTTTCCACCCAAGCCAGATGCTTCCTGAATTCGGACAGGCACTGCTTCAGGCCTTCCTGCGAAAGAAGCACAGCCCTGCACACCTCCGCAAAAAACAGCCCCCCCCCCCCCCCCCGACTGAATGTCCAGGTGCACCCTGGAATGCTCCTCCAAGGTGTTGCCCCCCAGATCCTCACACCAAGGCTGGCACCCGCCAGGCCTGCCCTGCCCCGACACCCCGGGCCCCAGCACTGGCGCAGGCTCTTCTGCCCCGCACCGACCCGCCCCGCAGGCCCCGCTCACCGCATCGTTGCGCCGCTTCGGCCGCTCCTCGAGCACCACGTTGAGCCCCGGCTTCAGCTCGCCCCTCAAGAAGGCCTCTTGCAGCTGCGGGAAGGGCACCGTCAGGCCGCGCCGCCGGGCTGCCCTACACCGCGGCGGCCGCGGGAGGCCTCACCGCAGGGCCCTCTCCCCGGCCCCGCCACCGCAGGCTCACCTCCGAGTCCGAAAGAGAGGAGTCCTCCGAGTCCGAGCCGGAATCAGAGAGGGACTCACGCCGCGCCATGCCGCCACCGCTGCCCACCACTTCCGCCCACGTGCGAGCGCCGCCGCTGCCACTTCCGGGGCCGCCGGCGCCGCAGTTGCTACGGCGACGGCAGCGGCGTCGGCGGCAGCAGCCCCATGTCGGCCGTGGTGGCGCAGCCCGTGGCCGTTCTCGGCTGCCGGCCGGGGGTCGCCGGCGGCGTCTGCTTCTTGGAGGATCAGGTCGTGCTGCACGTGGTGGGGGCGGGCTGCGTACAGCTCCACCTCAAGCAGAAGTGGCACAAGTTCATCCCAGGTGGTCCTGGTCCCGACCCCGGCCCCGACCCCGGCCCTGGCCCCTGTCCGCCCTGACCCTTCTCCTCCCCGCAGGCATCGAGAAGACCCGGGGCGTGCAGACGATGGCCATAAGCCCCGACCGGCGGTACCTGGCAGCCGCAGAGACGGTAGCGGATCAGCCGGTGCTGACGGTCTACGACCTGTCGTCGGTGCCGGCGCGGCGGCGGAGGACGCTGTCTGCCGCCGAGCTGCCGGAGCGTATAGCGGTGTCTCTGGCCTTCTCCCCCGACTGTCAGTACCTGGCTGCAGCCACGGCGCCCCCCGAGGGGCACCTCACCTTCTGGCTCTGGGAGAAGCAGCGGCTGATGGCTGCCATCCGCCTCGAGGTCCCGGGCAGCAGCGTCTGCCAGGTAACAGCGGCGGCTCTCACGGGCTCCCACCCGCTGCCAGCCCCGGGGCCGTTCGGATCCCCGCAGCCTTGCCACGGGGGTGCACGCAAACACCTCCGCAATTGAGCTGGGCCAGCGTCTCTGCTGCTTGTGTTTAACGTTTTGATTCACAGTTGACTGGTTCTTTGGGAGCCTATTGCACTCTTTCAAAAACGTGGGCAAAAAGACCAAACTTTAGTCCAACAAGTACTGGGTGCCAGGTAGGTTGGTGCCATGTGAGTTCAGTCTGCAGGATAAGTGCCCAGTACAATTTCCTGTGACCACATGGCTTCTATCCAGGGCAAGACAGGAAGGAGCGGGCTCCACACTGTAGATTTTATGTAGTTTCCATGGCCTTTCTTGCCATCTGCTGTTGGCCTTCCTCGGCAATAGAACACTGGGCTAAATAAATTTTTGCTTTTGACCCACAACGGACATTGTTATGTCCTTGTCTTTTACATCACATGAGATCTGTGGTGTGGGGCCAGTACAGCTGGGCAGTGTGTGTGCAACATGTCCTTTGTCTCTCTGCAGAAACACTTATTAAATATACTGTCTGTGTTCAGCAGGCATAGCACACATCTTGAAAGCTCTCTGCATGCTTGCACACCTTTTCCTTCCTGCAGTCTGTTCTATGGGCAGGCCATAGTAGTAGCCCAGGAAGAGTGCCTAGGAGCAGGCTGATGGCACTCAAACAATTCCTGCGTCCTTCTTGGGTGAGGTCTTTAGTATCTTTCTTGCAGGGAGCTAAGAGGCTTTCAGTACCTGGGTTGGCTGGACCCCAGCTGCTGTTTTTTCTGGGGTACAGCTAGACGGAGAGGTTGTGTGAACTACTGACTTCATGAACTCAATTTCTAAGAGGAGGAGAGTGACTTGAAAGACAACTACTGTCTAAAGTCCCATTAAGCATGAAAAATGAGATCTAACTACCACTGCTATCCTTTATGTTGGGTATTAAGATAGCTATCCCACTTTTTCTACCAATAAACACCTAATTATGTGAATTAATATGTATAATGGGCAAGGTATGCCAGAAATAATTTATTCCTGGCCTTTAGGAATGAATGGTCCCACTTCTCATGAAGCTTGCCACTGGAAGAAAAAAAAAATGCTAATCAGCAGTAAAGAGGTACTTTTGCCTTACTTTTGGCAATCCTGAAAGTCAGAGACAACTTTCCCTTTGGTATTGCATTGTGATTCAGATAGCAGCTTAACAGAGTTAACATATTTGTAATATCATGTAAAATTGATATACACTGTTCTGAAAGGGGGGAAACTGCAATATGTGGTTATGATGGTTATTTTTTATTCTTTTCTGTATTCCTATATGTTTCTAAGAAACTTCTTCCCTTGTTTGTCCTCCTGTATCTATTATTGAAAGTCTTCATAACAAGTATCATATTTGCTTATTTGTGAATATAGTTGTATAAAATATTTTCTCTCTTTTTGTGTTCCACAGGTGAGTTTTAGTCCTCAAGACAATGCACAGGTTTGTTTCACCGGAAATGGCTTTTTTAAACTTTTTAAGTACAGTGAAGGAACTTTGAAGCAGATGAATTTAAAAAAGGGAATGCCACAAAACTACTTGTGCCATACCTGGCTGTCCAAGGAGGAAGTTATATGCGGTACTGACACAGGCAAACTTATCTTGTTTGAAACTGGAGATCTGCTCTGGGAGACAAGTGTAGAGTACAGAAAACCACACAGGGAATTAGAAGAAGATGCGACAACAGAATATGAGTGGTAAGTCTGTTAAATACTAATAATTTCATGCTTGTTCATGCAGATTAGTTGCAGGTCATTCACTTATTTCCTTCTTGTCCAGTTTGTGAATAATATTTTGATTGCTGCTGATAAACATTTTTTTGTTTGTCCTTCAGTATTCTTATGTCTTTATGCATTTCCTGCTTGCATTTTTTCTGTTAGTTCCAGTGTTGATAATGGTTCACAACAGGATTCTTTGCCTCAAATATCTGCAATTGCAGCTTATTCCAAAGGATTTGCATGTTCATCTAGCCCAGGAATTGTTCTGCTATTTGAGAAGACCAGGGGAAAGGAACTCTACGAGGAGAGTCAAGAAATCTGGGTAGGGAGAAAAAAACTTTTCCTGGCAATAATGCAGCAGAGGCCTGTTTAGAGGGGAGGGGTACTTCCAATTCATTTATTTATGATAATTTTTAGCACATCTCTAAATTACATTTTAAGCATTAGCTAACTCTCCTGATTGAAAGGAAGGGAGTTGCCAGAGGTCACATAGAAAGGCAGTGACAGGTGAATTTTGCAAGGTAACTCTGCATGTTCCCTCATCTAAAATCTGTTTTGAGGCTGCTAGACATCAGGAAAACTTTAAGAAACTTTTATTCATGGAGACTTTTGGAGCTAAGAAGTACTCTAAATCAATTTTGCAGAACTAGTCTGCTTAGGTTTTTTTCCAAGGCAAAATTTTTGTCTCTTCAGATATTTATGAGACTTTTCCACTATTAAGTAATCCATTAAGATTTATAACTGTTCTATAGTGAGCTGTATGCATTGACTTATTTGCAGCTCCTGGATAAGAACATTTAGCTCTGATGACCTCATCAAGCCTTCATACTCTAAGCCTCAGAGGTCAGATCTTCCCTATGTAAGAGACTCTGTAATAAGGCTGTTATCAACCTGAACGATACATTGCAAAGAACTGTTACTTTGACATCACAATTTTCAGGCAGTTTTCATTCTGACACTTGCTAGGTTTTTTTCTCAATGTTTTTCTGCTACCATTTTCAATTTTGTTTAAGGCAGTGCTTAAGTTTACTGTTGATACTTTTTACATCTGTAATGCTATAGATACAATTATATTATCTTGTCCTCTGTTCCTTGCTTTGCAGTAGTTAGATACTATTAAATATCTAAGTTTTCTCATTGATATTAAGTATATGCTTATTAGAGTAGCATTACAGCAAAAGTTTTTGTGTGTGTATGTGTGTGTGCATGCCTACTACTAAAACTTGAGACCTGGAATATCCCATGGGATACATCTCTTTTGCAGCTTCCTAAGGACCAGTTCAGCAGTGATCCAAAAAAGTCAGGCAGACAGAACATTATATGTATATGCTTCAGCCCCTCAGAGGAAACAATGGTTGTTAACACACATAAGAATCAGCTTTACATGTTTACTATGCTCACCACTGATTTCATGAAGGTGAGTGCAATCCTATCACATTCCACATCCCTAATGGCCAGTAAGAGGTATTGTAATGGCACAGGCTGTTTAGTGTCACTTTCTATAATGCATTCTCATAAATACCATCAAACAGCATCTGAATCCTTAAAGCTCATGATATGATGAGTTCTGTGTGCTTCTCTAGAGCTGTATTTCAGCAGCCCCTTGCTCAACCATCCCTCCATATGAATACCTGATGTTATTCAGGAAAATGAGAGAGGACACTGTTAAGTCTGTTTAAGGATGCTGAACTAGTTAAGTAAGTGTTGTACTAGTTAAGCAAAGCTTTAACAGAGAGACTTTTAACAGAGAGAATTTTAACATGATAGTTTATGCTCCACTTTAACATGGAGAGTTTTTAATGCAATGATAAAGCTGGAACAGCCATGGGAATCTCATGTGACTCTAAAATAATAGTCATTGAAGTCCTAGTTAGAAGTGAAACCTCTTTGTGAAGGACAAACTTAATGAAAAACATTCCCTACTCTGAAGGCATTAAATAATAAAAAGACAGGAGATAAATGTATTATCACGAAATAGACTGGCTTGGAGTTAAATATGTACAGGCATATGGAAAGGTCTTTACAGGAGGGGGTTTTGTAGTTATGGGTCCTTTTTCTGCATGCAGCGTAAAATTTTATTTGGGCTTCACTTTGGGATGTACTAACTAAACATCCTGATTAAGATGCTTATCACTCAGCGCTGGATTGTTTTTAAATATATGTCTGGCCAAAAAGTCTTAAATGAATTCTATTTATTTATAAATAAATTTTATTTATTTATCCAGTTTGCATTTCTTTGGACACCTAAAATTACTTTCTGCTCTCACTAGTGTATGAGGACTGTGGAGCCTACATCTTCCCCCCCATCACTTTTCTTGATTATTAATTATAAAGTTAAAACTGATTCTAACATTGTTATGTTTTCAATATTATGTTCAGACCTGTGCACTGAAAGGAGTAAGTGGTTTCCTCAAATCTCTATTTGGTTACTGCATGCAAAGAGCAATGGTAGATTTCTTACCTGACTTACTGCTTGTAGTGAAATATTTGTGAATTTTTGTTTTCATTGCTTCTCAGGAGAGGATTGCTTATTTTAAATATCTGACTTTCCCATTGCATTCTGCTTCCATTACTGGTCTGGACATCTGTGTTTGGAAATCCATTCTTGCCACTTGTTCCCTGGATAGATCTGTCCGCATCTGGAATTACCAGACAAAGTAAAGAGTTGTTTGTGTTTATTACTACCTTTTGCTTTTTTTGTATATTGTATCTAGCAGGCAACAGCAGCAATTTCTCATGAGTGAGAGTGTTGTTTTGGTAAAATTCTTGTGTGGTGTGGGATGTAAATGGTCTTACTGACATTATTTAGGGTGTGTGAATATGCAGTGCCTTTAAAACCAGTGCCAGAAGACTCCAAAGCCTTTTTTATTAAGCCATATTTGTGTCAGACTTCTCAGGTGTATTGAAGAAATCTTCAGGAATGTTTCATTCAGCTTTAAGTTACTGCTGTCCCATCTCCTGCTTCATAGCCATAGTTCTTAAGCAAAATGACTCTAGTTTTTAAGGTTCTGTGGGAGGAGAGGGGGAGAAAAACAAATCTCAGAAGAGATATTTATGTAGGTTTGCAGTCAGCAGCTCATTTACCTTCTTAATCATATTGCAGTAAACAAGGATTTGCTCTTGTACCTTCCACACTTTCTCTGTGAACCAGAAAGTTCAGATTTACCCTTGTTTCCTGTAACATCTGTGTGATGATTACTTAACTGAATGACATTTCCTCAATGAGAAGGCAGAGACAGATTGTAGCTGCAGGTGTTCTTGCTGGGCCAGATAATGTCCCCTTCTGCATGCACAGGGAGTTTGTACTATTCCATACTGCACAGTGGTTTTCTCTTTCAGCACTTTGGAGCTGTATAAGGAATACTGGGAGGAAGCATACACAGTATCACTTCATCCCACTGGCCTTTTCTGTTTGGTTGGATTTTCTGACAAGCTACGATTTATAAGTCTACTGTATGAGGACATGCATGTCTTCAAGGAGCTTGCTGTGATAAAGTGTAGAGAGGTAAGGAGAGATGCAAAAATGAAATAGAGGAGTTATAAGAAGCAGAGTGGCAAAGAACATAACAAAAGCTAGAAACTTCTCTAATAGACACTAGTAGGATTTAGGATATCAAAGCATAGAGAAAAGGAGTTTAACTTGAAAAATAAGCCTGGAGGCCGATGTGTAATGTGCACCTAGGAAGCAGCAGAAGGGGTAGTTTGCTCAGAAATGCTCAAGGACTGAATTTTACAGGGAAAAGTTACAATTAAGAAAGCAGTAAGAGGCTAATTATGTCATGGGGTTTTCTTTTTGTGCAACATTCTGATTTTAGATGATGTCATTGGAATTCAATTCATGAATGTTATTATCTGCTGCATCTGCAGTAATGGGTGGTTATTTTGTTTTTGTAGTGTTCATTCAGTAGCAGAGGACATCTTTTTGCTGCAGTTAATGGAAATGTCATTGAAATTTATTCCAGCATCACCTTTGAGAATATTAATAATCTGAAAGGACATAGTGGGAAGGTTAGTAAACAAATCCTATGCAATACAACTCATTAAAGTATGAACTAGTTGGTACGATGCATTTTGAAAAGGTAAAGTACAATTTTGGATCAGAAATGGGCCCAAAAATTAAAATTAGAAATTCAAAAGTCAGTTTTCTTTAGTCAGAAGTCAATGTATGCATGTATTAGACACATCTAAAGAGTCTGTTCTTAAACTGGAAGTGAGTGACTGGCAGGTAGCTGAACCAGGAAAAATATCCCATTAATAAATTATAAAAATGAAATGTACTACTCACTGTTGAAATGAGCTTTTTCCTGACAGTGGGTTCATAAAGTAGTTGTTCTTGATTTATTTTTTTTTAAATATAATTACTTGAGAAACATCCAGGGTTTTTTAAGTAAGTCTTAGAAATACAATTACGAAGTTGACATGGATTTACCAGTAAAATGACTCCACGCTGTGTGTCTGTAACCTACATATCAGGCTCCTTGGTGTGTTTTGCTTTTGCCAGATACGTTCAGTTAAGTGGAGTGCAGATGATACTAAATTTATCTCCTGTGACACACATGGTGCTGTGTATGAGTGGAACTTGTCAACAGGTGAAAGGGAGACAGATTGTGTGCTCAAGTCCTGCAGGTACAGCAGCATTGACCTGTCTTCTGATGCCAAAGTCATCTTTGCTGTTGGATCTGACCAAACTCTCAAAGAAATTTCAGAGTCTTCGGTGAGCTAACAAGGACTCTGGGATTTTGCTAAGTTTTTGGGGGGAGGGTAGTAGTGCTTTGTTTTTCTTATCATCCATTTGGTAAGCAGTAATCAGTAGGGTTTTGAGAGCTGCAATATTTACTGACACTTTTCTTGTGTTCTTGTGTTCTTTATCATGAAGCCTGAGATTATGCTGTAATTTCGTATTTTTATAAATTCTGATTTACCTAGAAATCTTCTAATCCTGCTAACTAATTTAGCAATCTTATATCTACAGTTTTGCTGAAAGCTAAGTGTATTGCATCTCCTACTGTAGGCTACATGGGGTTTTTTTTGTTTTTTTTTTTGGTCCATAAAAGAAGTAAATTGTATTTAATAACCATTACATCTTTCAGAAGTGATCAATGTGTGGAACTTGGCTTGAAATTGTGCTTATCTATAAAGCTTAATATTAATGATAGTTATGGCTTTACTCCTGAAGGCATGTCGATTCTTTTGACTGCATTATTTGCTGCAGACAAAGGAATGACAAATGCTCATGCAATAGGTAATCAAATACTATTGGGGAACTTAATGTAATGTGAGGCTTTTGTGTGGTGGTTTTGTTTTGCCTTTTTTTTCAGATCCAGCATGAAGTGCCTGCTTTTGATGTTGTTTATACTGCAGTAGCTGTTTCTCATTCTGGGCACACGGTATTTGTTGGTACGTCTCTGGGGACAATTCGAGCTATGAAGTACCCATTACCTTTGACAACGGATTTCAATGAGTATCAGGCCCATGCGGGTGCTGTTACAAAGGTAACATAAAGTATTTCTTTTCCCTGCACTACAGGATGCACATGTCTCCTTTAGCACTGATTCTCCTTCGCATTTCATAGCATAATAAAACTGTTAAAACTGAGGTTGAGCCTCCACATGAAGAATGAATATTACAGCATTCATAGAAGTCTTCTCCCTAGAAATAGATGTCACTGGATAAGCTGTTGTTGGCTAAAAAGTGGCTTGCACCAGGATATGTAACATGGTATTTCTCTGATGGTGAAGTTTAAAATATAGGTCTTTCTGGAAAGACGAAGATAAAGTTACCGTAGAATCATAGAATTGTCATAGAAATGACAGGGAGTATATGGGTGGGGAATAAAATTTGGAGCAAAATCAAACTGCCTCTATTCTTCCTTGTCTCTGCTATTATTTTGTTGTCTTTTCATTCTAAGATGTCCATAACAAATGATGACCAATTTCTGTTGACTGCCTCAGAGGATGGCTCTATATTTATCTGGAAAGTCTACGAGAAAGGAGGTGGGATAGTGAAATGGCAGAAGGAAGCTGAGTATGCTGAGGAAGTGTTGATCCTGAGGTCAGATATAAAAGAGAAGGTAGGTGGAGCAACTTGTGAACATGAACCATAGAATTCCTAGTGTACAGCTTATGAATTACTTTTGCATTTTTGTGACTAGTTGTTCCTATATGGCCTTCTGCTTAAAAGAGCTTGCATGCCTTTTGTCATAAAAGAGATTACAGTAAGTAGCTGCAGCTGCTTGTTAACATGCAGACTGCATTGTATGAACAGTGAGTGTGGAGAAAGGTTTAGATTTTTCTCTAATACTTTTCTGAATCTCTTGAAGGCAGTTTTAATGGAGTAGGGAAGTCAGAAGCTGCATTTCTATAAACCATCTTATAAGACAACAAAGGAACCTTACTTCTAGAATGTCGTCTTGGTCTGTCTGTCTGTAAATTCTCTGCAAAGGCTGTCTTTTATAAATGCATGCATGTAAATAATACATCCTTAACAAGCTGTTGCTAAAGGCAAATAATCTCTCTGTTAGTACTGTCTTCTTATCCGTGTTCTAACAGAGTCAGGCAATGCTGGACCTGCAGATTCGTGAGAAAGAGCTACAGACAGAAAAGTATTACCAACTAAGTCTCAAGGACATGTACTATAATGAAAAAATAAAGGAATTAGAAGATAATTTCACTCAGGAAATAAGTTCCCTTAAAACCAAACACCAGGTATGAATCATATTGCAGAACCAAATACCAAGAAATCCTTCACTGAAAGGTTGTATCCAAGCTTGCATTATATATGTATGAATGCCATAAAGCATCTGAAAAATGACACATTCCTTTCCAATACAGATGTTCTTGATATTTGTAAAGCATGAAGCTACCTTTGAATCAACTGTCTTGTAAGTACAACAGAATGCAATAGTTATCCTAGGGAGCCTACAAGTATCTTTACATAAAAACAGTTCCAGCAATAAATGCTGACTGGGACCAAGGACCAATAAGCTCTGTCACCCTTGAGGAGAAATGGGACCATGGCTTAAAAGCTCCATCCCACATAAAGTCGCAGCTGCTGCAGGATCCTACAATTATTCTTCTAAATGCCACCTTTGTTGTGCCCTGGCTGCTTAACATTTTTGAGAACATCTGCTGAGATGCCTTGTATGCTTTTTGAAAATAGAAGTAAAATATATTCCCTGGATTTCTTCTGTTTATGTATTTATTGATTTCTCTGTGGTCACAAAGCAGGAGTTCCCTGAAAGCAAAAGCCACAATAATTCTTCCCAGTGTCTTATTTATTTATGTCCATTCATTCTATTCTGTCCATCTGTCTGTTGCACACACCACATTTCTGACCTGTAATTTGCTATATTTCTGGACACTTTTTAGAGTTAGAAGGCAAGTGATGTAGTACAATTGGCAATACAATCTGGCAGTAAAATGACTTAAGTGACAGATTACACATCATGTGATTCAATTCTGACAACCTCATGTTCTTTCCAAGCTTTTGGATGAGTATTATCCTATCCTGGTGATTTGTTACTGCTTATTTTGTTGGGTTGTACATAGTCCCTTCAAGCAGTATTTCAGTTTGACTCCACATAAAGAAGGATTCCAGTATGAAAGCTTCCCAAGTTACTTACTAGATTTATTATTTTATGGTCTTGTCATTTTCAGGTGCTCCTTTTGGCCTTACAAATGTTCTGGCAGGTTTCTGATTTTGATTTTTTTTTTAGGAAGTTTAATTATTCATTTTACTGCTTTTTTCAAGTAGTTTCTCAGGCTCTTTGGCTTTTCTCATTGTAGCTTTTGCATTTAAGTAACCTGAGTTTTAACCTTTCATTTCTCCTCATTTTTGTACAGCTTTACCTTTTACAACAAAACCTTTTCACTTCTTATAGATTCTCTGTCTTTTACCTGTGCTGGTTTTCTGTTCTGTGGTTCTTCAGATCTTGTCATAGAGTTCTAATAATCTCAGCTACACTGAAACTTCTTTAGGCTTGTTGATTATAAGCTTGCAAGCAAATGAGTTTGAAGGTGAATAAAACTTTTCTAGGCAGGCAAACTGTACTTTCCATCCAAGTATCAGTACTTGTTAAGATTAAACTGAATGACAGGCTTGGGGCTAACCTTTCTAGTTGTGGCCAGCAGGCAAATGAAATATTTCTGCTTATACAAGACCCACAGAGTTGTTATGAGAAGAAAGTGAAAAAATTGTACCTATGGTACAATTCCCAACTTTTCTGGGAAATTTCTCACCTGTTTTTTTGTTCCAGTTCTTTGTGATTTCTTAGAAGATTAAGTCATTTGTAGTGGTAATCGGACATTCCAAGCAAATGGCATTCAAAACTTGCTTTTGCTTTTGTATGTGTCATTCTGTGCAAATGACAGTGTTTTAGGCCCTCAAGATTGCTTCAAATGAGGCAGAAAGCAGCCTGAACGTTAATATCTGGACAACAATTTGTGGAACTGCATATTCTTTTCAAGCAGGCACACACAAGAAAGTGGAGGCTTTTGTAGCTCACAAACTTTCCTTCTTAGATTAGGATCATAGAGTGTCCTCAATTATATGAACTCCATTTGCTGCTTCTCCTTAGCTTTCCGTAGTTTTGTAACTTGCCATAACAAACTAATCTCTGGGAAAACTTGGCTTAGTGACACGTGGCATCTGAATTTTGGCAAGAGATTTCAAACATAACTTCTTTTGTGTATGTGTCCCCCAACAGGGGCAAGAGCACAAACGATTTGGATACTGCTTTGCCTTGTTTCAAATAAAAATGTATTTGTCTTTTTCTTTTTTTCCCCCAGAATTTACAGAGAGAGAAAGAAAACCAGGAACAACAACACCAGCTGCAAGTGTCTGAGCTGATGGATAAACAGGCCAGGGAGATGCAAAAGCTAGGTTAGACTGGAACAAGTGTTTGTAACTAGAATCCGGAGGAAGCCGTTAGTTTCATAGCAAGTAATGTGACAGGGAGGGATTACTAGAGTACAAGAACAGGGAAAAATGCATGAATGTCATATAGGTATTACAGACCAAAAATTTCTCTAAACTGCATTTGTTAAACACACACATGACCATGATGAGAACATGTACATGGGCACTGTATCTTGGAAGTTTGAGTTTTGAGGTTAGTGATTTCTTCATTTATCTTATAGCTGACTGTGCAAGGGTAGTGAAATCACACAGTTCAGCAAAGAGGGTGATATACAATGCAAACAACATGGAAATACCTGGACCTTAGATTCATAAACAATATATGACAGAAGTACTGCAAATGAGTACATAAAGCAAGTCCACCCAAAACTGTACTCTGTAGCAGTTGTGCTTACACAACTCTGTCATGGCTGTTATCTCAAGGGAATGCCTAAACTAATTGTTATTAATTTGTTGTAATAGCAGAGTGGGGGACCTTGGTATAGGTTTGAGACTTGTTAAAGCTGGAACAAACCACCATTCAGCAGGGATATAGCAGGATATTCAGAGATACAACAAAGAAAAGTGGATGGTAGCTTTGGAACAGGCATTATTAGTGAAGTGGTAAGTTAAAGGAAGAGCAGGAAACTCAAGAGATGGTTTCCTGGTGTAAAATTTTATATGTCCACAGAGTCTAAAAGCCCTGTATATCTGAAAAAGAAAGTGATTAAGTGCATCTAGTGTAACTTATTGTAACCAGCTGCAAAAAAGATAGTACAGAATAAGACATTGATGACTGTAGGAGGATAGGATACACCTCTTTTCTATTAGTTTTATCCATTCTGTATGTCTTCTCTTACCAGAATCTGACAGTAATCAGAAACTCTTAATGGAAAATGAGAAATACCAGGAGATGCATGAGAAATACCAAAAGATGCAGGAGGAATATGAGAAACAACTACACAGCTTGGAAGAACGCAAAAGCAAGGCTGTGAAGGAACTAACAGCATACTATGAGGAAAAACTTAATGAGAAATCTGTTCTGCTGAAAGAGGTAGGAATCTTGATTTGCAGTTTGAGTTACTGACCAAGTTTATCTCCAACTCCAAAGACAAAATGTTCCCTAAGACAGCAGAGGTGGGGTCCCTCCATGCAAATCCTGATCTACCTGTAACCCTGGGGAAGTGTGTTGACAGGTAGAATAGTAATAAGGAAAAGCCATCTGAGATACCAATTTCTCTTACTTCTTACCTTGAGTAAGTAACATGCTAAGATTGATATCCTTGGGAATTCTCAGCTTCACCTCTCTTTCTCCTAGATCCCAGAACTCCTCTTTATTGATGTGGGCTAGATGATACATTTACTGTAATTATAGAATCATACAATCATAGAATAGTTAGGGTTGGAAAGGACCTTAAGATCATCTTGTTCCAACCCCCCTGCCATGGGCAGGAACACCTGCCACTAAACCATGTCACCCAAGGCTCTGTCCAAAAGAAGAAGGCTCTGCCCAATTGATGAAAGAAAGATTCAGTCACCTTGTTCTGGTGAAGAGATAACATTTCTAAGGTGGTGAATTCCATTCCCAAGTCCCTGAGGTTCTTGCTGGCATAATCTGGGGGATGAAGAGAAATACCCTGCGTACTTCAAAAAACCCTGCACATTGAGGTCAAAGACTTAGCTTGACAAAGGGCAGCTGGATAACTGATACTTATGTATCTAAAGTCAATAAATTCTACGAACGTTCTGTTTGCAGCCCTATGTTGCAATAACAATTTGGAAAGAATGTGAGGAATGACTGTGAGAAGCATACAGATCCTGATGCAAACCTGAGTGGTTATTTGACCTAATGCATCAGAAGCAGCAATTTTAAAATACATTCTCTAGTGTCACCCATATTTGCATTTTCTGCAGCCAGAATAAGTTTGTTGGTGTTAGTGTTTGGGCCAGGTTCCTACCTTGAAGCATCCAAGTCTTAAGAATGAATTTTTCTTTTTTTCATTTTTTTTTTTTTAAGAAGAATCTTTTTTATGTTTGTCACAGCAGTTTTTAAAGCTACTTTAATCCCCTAAGAAGTTACCTTAAATGATATTGCTGCAATTGACAAATCCACAAAATATAGATCCTCCCAGGAGAAACACAGTTACAGATAAAGAACCCTCTTCTTCTTTGTCCTTCTTCCTTATCTTCTCTAATGTTTGCTTTCCCTAACTGCAGACAGAGGAGGATATGAGGCAGCAGCTTCGAGCACATGAAGAAATTAAGAAACAGATTTATGAAGATGAAGACCAAGAAATCATGGAAATCAAAATTAAGTATGAGCGACAACTCTGGGAAGAAAAGCAGTCCAACATGCAACTGAAAGGAGAAATTGGAGTCATGAATAAAAGGGTATTTCTTATTCTGTGATAGGATCAGACCTGCACTTGGAGACTTATAGCCAAGGATTGAATGTGATGAATGACATGTCAAATTAGTCTAATTTAATCTGTAAATACATGGCATTTTATACGAGAACAGTAGCCCCTTCATGTATCAGATTGTATGTTTAGAATATTTGGGTAGAAGAAGCTGTGTGCTTATCGTATTGCCTTCAGTTCCATTGTCTTCTAGACAGCAGGAGTTTCTTCATGTGTCCTTACAGTCTGATCATCACCATTCCTTGGTTCTGAATTTCTTGGCTTCACAGATCTTAGTACCGAGGCAGGGATTTTGAGGGTACCCAAGAGCTATAAACTAGGCATGTTTCTCATCTACTTTTGAAACTTTTAGAGATGTATGGCAAATGATCACCTTCAAATAATTTTCCATGGCTTGAGCTCTATTTGAAGCTGATGCTTGGGTATAATAACCATACCCTTCTTGTCCTGGATGCATATTCCTTGATTCCTTGTAGTGCAGTGAGTATTCTGTCAGAATATACAGAAAATGCAAACACAAATACTCAACTCCCTTTTGAGTTACAGGTATTTAAGTGATGTGATGCTCCTTCATCAGATCATAGTTTTTTTAGCTATCTTTTATCTCACACTGTCTACAAGGTATCGTGCAGAGTAGGGTGGCTAAGTTGTGCACAGGTTTTGGAAACTGTTCTTTGGAGTTCTTACTTGTTTGCCTCTCTAGTTGAACAGCCTACAGAAAGAGCTCAAAGAGCGGAACAGGTGCATTGAGGAAATGAAATTGGCACAGCAGAAGCTGCAACGCTTCACTAAGTCACTGGAAGATGACATCTTGTCACTGAAGAATGATATTCAAGAGAGAACTGTCACTATCCAAGACAAGGTAAGAAACTGGACAATTGTCTAAGATCAAAATCACCCTCTCTTAATTTAATACAGGTATTTATTTTAATAGTATCATGTTGTGGCAGTATCACATGACTGGAAACAGTTTTAAAGAATTTGCGATCTTTAGTTTGGGGTTTTAGTTTTTAGCCAACATTCTAAGACTTTCTTGGGGAGTTCAAGTTCAGGATGTTGAGTTTGTCATGCCCTGCTCTGGGATCTGTAGACGGCTCTCTGCATTATTTGCCCCTCCCTTCTCACCCAATCTGTATGGATGTGCAACTGAAGTTCAGCCTTCCACTAGATCTGTGACTGCTGGTCTTGCCTGTACCATATTTGTGCCTAGTCCTACAGGTCTGTTTAAGATGCTGTGTCTGATTCACATCTGTACCTATTTCTCTCAGGAGAAGCATATATATGACCTAAAAAAGAAAAACCAGGAAGTGGAAAAGTGCAAGTTTGTACTGGATCACAGAATAGCGGAGTTGAAGAAGCTAATAGAGGCACGTGGAAATGATGTTAAAATAATGAAGAAGCAGATCTATGAGGTGAGTAGCACTCTCATTTGGCCTCTGATACTAAGTCCTTTGTCTGAATGCAAGTCCCATGGAAGATTCTACTCTCTTTGTTCCTTGACTTCTTTCAAGGATACACAGCATTGATTCAGTATCTTTACAGCTAATAAAAATATCTGTGCACAATAGCTGATATTTTTCTATCCTATGCTACCAGTGATCAACAGAGTTATTTAAACTCCTGTTTCAGTATTTAATTCTAGGCTCCAAGTAATATCAGTTTGGCTTAAAAAATAGATCCTGTCCACATACCCGGTAGAGTTTGCAAGACAGTGCCTGGTTTACTGATATGGAGGAAGAGAGAATGAGCTTTACTCAGAAAAGTTGCAGATTTATGCAAACATAACTCTGTTTAGGGGTTAGGCACATGCACAAATAACAGTTCATCAGCTGATCCATGGAAAAATTGCATGCATTCATACTTAGCTTACAGCAAATTCATTGAAGGAACTTATTTATGATAGAAACTTACTGTGACCTCTCCATAGAAGTAGCTTTAGATCAGCTAATCAGTGATTTACTAGCTTTCATAAGTCTGTTTATTCAGAACAAAAGCCTTTTAAATAAAATGCAAGCTAGTGAACAATTTTTATGTACATCAGACTAGCATGATGAAAGCCCTGTTCTCTATTCTAGTCACCATCTTATGCGAGTAAATGCTGTAGTACCCTTATCACTTCCCCCCCCCCCCCGTGTTTTACATAAGTAAGTATGCACAGCTTTTCACTGCATTTGTTTCTTTTCAGTATCAGGTGGTTCCTATCGTTGCACTTAACTCTTTCCAGCATTGACTGTTAATTTCCATCTCAGGCAAACATTTTTATTCATATGGAACAGCAAAGCTCCAGTTCAGCGCAAAGAAACAAAGGGGCATCTCATCCCTTAAATACTTGTTACTCAAAGGGGAATTAAATGTCCCTTTTTGTGTTTTCCTGTATGTTCTGACAGAGGGCAGCGTTGCTCCAAAATTTACTTTTTTATGTTGTAATTCAGCCTGAAGGGGGATCTACTCCCTCAATCCTGTGTTTCCAGTCGTGGTTTTCCTGTTTTGTGTTGTTTTTTCACGTCTCCTTTTAGTCCTGATTTCCTCCTCCTGCTTCCTTTCAGACGGAGGGCGAGCTGGAACGATTCCACAAGGAGAGCACACAGCTGAAGCTGAACGTCACGCAACTGCAACAGAAACTAAAGGCAACTGACAATGAGATGCATAGGGAGAGGCAGAAGGTATGGGGTACAACCACTGTGCAGGTCCTACATAATGAAGTTTGTGGGGACAGAACACTGCAGAAGCATTAATCTGAGCAAACCGGTACTTCAGGGATCCTGTGTCCAAGGACCAGGAGAGTCTGTAGTCAGTGGGGACAAAGAAAACTTTCAAGCCTGCAACCAGCTTAGAAAGTTGATGTTTAAAACATCCTGTTAACGATGTGTCAGTTTGTTCAATCAACACATATTCTCCAGAGTTTAACAGAGCAGTGAGGCAAATGTTTAACACACTACCCTTTCCTGCCCAAGCTTGAAATCTGGGGACACTTGGTCTAAACAGGAGCAGCACATAGGCTACACCTATCACTTATGTAGGTATTAGTAGGATGAAATGAATGGTGGGCATATTAATGGGGGAGATGAGGAGCCCTTCTCTTTGACAACAAACACATCAGACATAAGGGAGGAAAAGTGAAGGGGAAGGAATTTAACAGGGAGTGGAGGACTGAGGAAGCAGGTAGAGGACCCTGGTTGAAACCAAGTGAGAAGGAGAAGGCAATCTTGGTGTGAAATCATCAAGTTGTGCATGCGTCTGATCAGTGTTTAGTGGCTTGGATTCTCTTATTAACTGTTTCTGTGTTGTTTCTTAATAAGAATGTAGGTTGTTTTGGACAGGCCAGTGAAGGGATAGCATGCATGATAGTCAGCCACTGGTTATCAGATGAGATCTATGGATGCTGACACTTACATTACCTAATGCAAGTACCTTGGATTATTATTGCTGGTAAAACTTATCACTGCTCTTCAAAATGTAGTGCTTATATCCCCAGTTGTTATTTTAATGACTTTTTTTTTTTTCAAGTAAGTGGAAATAAAGTATATGAGAGCTTTCACCAGCTCTATTAGACTTCCTAGAAAATTGCACATAATGGAGTGCTCTGATGAGCCAAATAAGAATGTACCTACATCATTCTTGCAGAAGCAAAATATGGAAGCTCTCATCAAACGATTTAAAGCAGACCTTCATAATTGTGCGGGCTTCATTCAGGAACCGAAAAAGCTGAAGAATGGGATCCGTGAGCTCTACACCAAGTATGTGCAAGAATCAGACTTGGTGAGTAGGGGCCTTCCCCTTCTCCTTGCAGATGAATTTCTCTGGTAGTGTAATTACTAAGACAACATGCTGTGCCCCCTCAGGAGGAGACTGAAACGGCACAAAAAGATTTGCAGCCCGAGTGCATGAGACAGAGAGAGTACCTCGAGAGGAGTTTGGAAGCTTTAAAAAAGAAGTTGGTGAAGAATCAGGAAACTCACCGAGGTGCTTACTTGCGCATTATGCAGGTAGTAAGCTTTTTCCTTGTGATATGGAGAGGGAAAAACGAAGCAGCTGCACTGAAGATACTTTAGAAGCCTTACCACTATGGTTTCTTAGGACTTTGAAACAGTTTTGATTTGCTTCCTCACCAGAAATTCCTGAGTTTTTCAAGTGCTTCCATTCAATGATAATGTTCATTGAGCTACTCAAGTACTATAGTTTTCTGGATATAAAGAGCAAGATTTCTGAAGTCAGAAATTCCTGCTGTTTTGTGAATACTTTTTGTTTACCTCCCACTCCCTGATATAAAATGTGATGGAGAATCTCTGCTGCCTGGATATTTTTTAAGCAATTTATTTCCAACAGTATTTAGAATTGCCATTATAGTCAGTTGGTAGCTGTCTGAGTGCCAAGCTGAACTTGCTATGTGTTAGTGTTTAGGAGGTAATTTTGGAGGAAGAAAAATAAGTCTTTGAAAAATACTTCTTTGGCCTCATAGTCGGTCTGAATTCAGAACTTTCTGCTTTGCACATCAAGGTTTGCAAGGAAGTTCAGAACCATATGATGAACATGCCTATTCATACAAAGATCTCTTGCTCAGAAACTTTGTTATTTAAAAGACAAGGTAAACTTGTGACTGCTAGGGACAAAGATCCAATTTATTTTCATTTGGAGTGAGAGGATCTAAAGCCCCACACCAAACATCGTAGGAGGACAGCTTTTTACAGTCTTTTCTTACCATGATCTCCTTCTGCTCAGTCAGCATTTCCTTTTCCCCTCACTAGCACTTTCTTCATTGTTACTTTATTTTGCTTCCTCAGAATTATTAGACCCCAGTCCCCTCCTAAGCCATCTGCTTTTTGCCATGTATTTATAGTGTTTCCCCAGGTCTAGGCAGCAGCAACCTTCTTCTTCGGCCTTGTTTTAAGTTTTTTTTATTCCTTCTGTGAGTTAGATGCTTTTAGCACAAAAGGAGATGGCTTCAGAAAAAAACCTGAAGAATTTCCTTGCTGAAACAGGGTGACAGATGGTGCTCATAATGATAGTACTTGATGTCTTGGATCAGTAAGCCTAACATAAAATGATGATTAAAACTCAATTAATAAAACATCTGGAAGATGAAGATATCAAAGGTTCTAACCTGCCTGGTTTCTTCAAAGAAAAAGCAGATCTCTGAAGTAGATTAATGAGATTTTACAGCCAGGAGGAATTATCATGGTCTTCCAGCCCTTCTCAGGGGGCTTTTAAGACTAGCTAAGACAAACTTCTGTCAGGACTTGCTTTGAAAGAGTAAATGACATTCCAATGGCCATCTAGCACTGCTCGAGACTGGCATTATGTGAGGTATCCAAAGCATGCCTTTGGGTAGTTTATCTTTTTAAAATATTGCCACTTATGATGAAATTCCATGGGTTGGAATCATGCTATGTTCCAAAACTTATAAAAACCCACCACAGGTAGCTGAAAGCATTGCTATTCTTGGGTCAAGCATAATGGCAGCTGTTTAACATTTGCACTAGCTGTTGATGTGATAAGGTATTTCAGTGTCTTTGTAAGAGGCAAATACACAGTTCCACTTCTCATGAATTCAGAAAAGAAACATTTAGTTAGTTGTGCTCCTCTGTCTGAATCACGAGCAACAGTTTTATCATCCTACACTAGTATTAGCCCATACTGGTTCTGCTGAAGTCTTTGAATCTGTTGCAACAATGGGTAAAGTACACTCACTTGTACTTTCACAACTCCTTCAGCAAGATGCTTTGTGGTAGGCTATTATAAAAAATAATAATTAGACAATTGAACTTTTATGGATTTAAAATTGTCAGAAAAAGTACAAAAGATTAATACATAGCTAACCTTTCCTCATAACAGCATGTTAGCAGAAGATATCTCAAGTCTCTATATGCTTTATATATTTCTTAATAATTTGGAAGGGATATTGGAAAGTGATATCTATCAGAACTAATGAAGAGGGCTTTGAAGATCAGTAAGGAGATACAGGTAATTTAAAAGTGAACAGACACATAGTGGCAAGTGAAAAGCAAACTAATAAATGCTGGAGGGAGAAATGGAAATTCCTCCTATTATTTCTGAATTAATTGGATCAGTCCAGGAAGGGACCTGAGCTTTCCTATGAAACTTGAAAGGAACAGGATACCTTGGAGTGCAGCTGCAGTTAGGAAAGCAAAACAAATATTAGTTTATTTAGCTAATATAGTTTGAATACTGTCATGTTTTGTATCAAATCTACTGTGGCCTTATCTGAAATGTTGTGTACTGTCCTGATGGTCCTTTACTTTCTGCTTGTGATACTGCTTCTATGCTGTCCAGTGGCCTTCCTAATGATATGAAGATACATATTGCTGAGCCAGATAGTACCTCTGCTTTCCCTCATAGGGAGTATTGGTTTTGCAGGAAAACATGTGTCTGATTAAGGAAATTAATGACTTGCGGCAAGAACTGAAGGCAGCCCTCACCCAGCTACATCACCTCAAGTCAACACTGAAATTAACCAAGAAAAGAGAAGCAATTCAAGACATAGGTGAATAGTGCTCCTTGTATGTTTTCCTTGTTGTCAATACTCATTTCAGAAGCCCTTTTTGTCTTTGGTGAACAGTTCTCTTACGCTCTCCAAGTTTGTCTGCTTGGTGAAACCTGTTATATTTTACAACCTATATATAGTATGGGTATAGTGTATATAGTACAGTATATATATATATATATAGGTATATAGCTCTACTCCTTCAGCCCTGAAAGATGCATTTCCTTGTTCATGCCAAAGAATCCTGCAAGGTGGACCTTTGTTACTCTGTCATGTTCTCTCTGATTTTATCTTCCTAGCTCCCCCAAGTGAACCGCTGCCCAGCCCAGCTGTCCTGAGGTTGAATGCAGAAAAGGAAAATGAGAAAATCATAGAAATGCAGCAGCTAGAAATTCAGTACCTGCGAAACCAAATCCAGGAGAGGGGGCAAAGCCGTGCAGTTCAGCTTCCTGAGCTGAATCTGGAAGAAAGTCACAAGGCACAGCAACAGTGATCTAGTTCAAGCATGTCTTACATTATTGTATCATCCTGGCAACATCAGAAATGCAGCAGCATAGATTAGACTTCTGTGATTCTATACTCTTTCCATTAGAAGCATTCGTGCAGCACTCACTACTCTGAACGCAAGGCAACAACTTCACTCCTTCCCCTTCTACTTTCCTGGAATCTTCCCTTTCCATGAGGCCAAGGAGCCAAGAGAAAAAGAATAAATTTGTGTTAGTGCAAAACTGATCTTTGAGCCTTCATGCTAGGACAGGTATGCACCTTCCTCTTGAAAAATAGCGTGTCCTAGTTCAGAAGAGCTGGTCAAACTCTGTAAACCTTTTCTGCTAGAATTCTAATTTGCTGTCATTGTGCTGAAAAACTCAGTATCAGCCTTTTATTTTCCAGTATTGAGTTGCTTATGTCCATACAAAGAACTGCCCACACTTAAGACAGATGTCAGCATTATTCCAAGCAGGTATCCAGTCACAGACTAAAAATCAGTTACCTTGTGAGGGCAACCTTTGACTAGTGAGCTAGAACCCTTGCTCAAGACTGCCTCCTGTCTGGAGATGCATTGTCTCATCTGTTACAATCATTTCAGCAGGACAAAAAGGCAGCACAGTTTCAAACTCTGAAACCTGGAATAAAGTCCAAACCCTGCGTCACAACTCTTCCATACCTTTGCTAAATTAACCTTTGCTTGTCTTCTTCCTAGCATCTGCAATCCCTTTCCTTCAGTTTTTCTGTGAAATTCTTCTAGAAAGTCACCGTACAAAGTACTCATGTATAGCAAAAGGCAGGGAATCATTTATTTAATAGTGGGAGGAGAAAAGTACTTTTTTCATCCTTTGTTGTCAGTGCATAACACACTGGCTCACTGAGGAATACTGCACATACGTCAGAAGTTTAAGCTACTGATTGAGCTTAAACTCAATATAATACCATATATTGTTATAATACTATATATGGAACTATATAGTATTCTAAGAGCCAGTACATTGCTGTTCCCATTTCCTAATCTGAATTGTAAAGAAGTGACAAGTGGTTTCTATGTTAAACAGAAGATGGTGGTGCCAATGCTGGATAACACATAAGCTATATTACCATTAGCAATACTAGACTCATTTCTAGGCTGACACCATGGCAAAACGAGCGCCTATGACCTGGAGACTTCAGCTGAGTGCTTTGGCCAAGAATGTGGAATTAAGTTTCTTTAGTCTTACTTTTTTCATTTTGCAGCTGTAACTGGTATGGAGCATGGGTTTCACAGGAACAAAACGAATAAATTACAATGGAATTGGTCTCTTGATGTGCTAACTTAGCACCCTTTCTTCCTCCTCCCCTCCCCATATAATCGTCTTGATACTTCCTGTACAGAAAGAGGATGTAATTAACATAATTAACAAATATTTTAGAAACTAGTTCCCTCTTAAATTTTCAGAACACACCCATTTTAATTTGCTGGACTCCCCTGTGGTATAATTTTCCCCTCTCTCCATCACAATAAATAGAGTGGCAGAAACCACTGCTTTAATAGATGTGTTTTAGAGAAATGGAATCCATCTTCCTGAAAGAGAAGAATCTTGTCCTCATAAGAGGAAGAAGCATCTACAGGTGAAGAATGATTTCTAAGTGGTGATTAATATGCTTAAAAGTATGCCCATGTGTCACCCACATTAGAAAGATTTTAAAGGCAATAGAAGGCCTGTCAGATGAAGCCTGGGTACAGAGCTGGCAGACTAGGTTCAAGAGGATTTTGAACTTGATCTTAGTGGCTAAGAGGCAGCTAAAACACTGTTCATAAGAGAGAACTTTGAAAGTCAGGCACAGCAGAGGGTTTCAACTGAGGTTTATCAGAAACTTGCTGGAAGCAAATAGAGGTACAAACCCCTTCTATACTCGGAACACTAGATCAAGGGCAATTTCCCACACACGTGCTGTAGAAATGTTTTCAGGATTAAGTTGTAACTGGATTATGATTTTGAATGCCAATGATCTTCTGAATTATCTCAGGCTGCAAAGACACTCTGCTTCATCCTGTCTTGGTCTGCATTGTCTGTTTCTCCTGTTGATACCTTTCTAAAGGCACTAGTAAGCATCTCATGCGCTTATAAAGTTACAGTCCACTTTTAAAAGTGAATATATGGCTATCTGTAAAGCTGAATAAGGTTTCCCCTTGATAATGTGTTTGTTAACTGGCCCAACTAAAGGTTTTTCTTACAATTTTTTTCTTAGTAAGGAAAAGCTCGTTGTTCAAGGATATTCATATAGCAAAATCCACCATGCTCTATTTGGTGTTTTAGGTTTAGGATAGGTGATATTTCATAAGTTTCAGAAGATCTGTGAGATCTTACTCAAGATAGATTTTCAAAGCTGTTGCACTATTCCGTGTCTATTTTATTAGTGTATCCTAAGCTTCCCTTCAAATAGCCTGCTAAAAACCTAGCATGCGACTTAAATAACTGAGCCTCCCTTTCCATTAGTCAGGCAAGAGCTGTTGTTCAGCCCCATTCTCTTCTTCCTACATCTTCCAGGAGATTTTCCAGCTGCTCAAGCTCCCAGTAGTGATCCCTTCTGCTGTCATTAAGGCCAGCCACAAAGGAGGGGGCATGCCCTTAGTCTGGGAGTCCCATTCACCTGCTGACTTTAATGTTCCTGCTACTCCCTTTTATTTCTCTTCCTCTCTCAAAGGAGTCCTTTTCTGTTTCCCTAATTCCTCTCAGAACTGACACTTTTTACTTTCCACTAAATTACCAGGAATTCAGAACTTCTGCAGCATGGCAGGCTCTGCTGATGCCACTGTCTCCCAAGGAGAGGATGCTGCAGCTGCCTGGTGATAGAGAGATACCACCACAATGACATCTTGCCTCACATAAGTGCCTGCCTGGACTAACACCATGCAAAGACCCAGTCCTGGTGTGTCCCGATGGCCCTAACCAATACAGCAGTGCAGGAGCTGTTTTGTTTAACACCACATAACAACAAATACTTGCCGAATGTGTCAAATCTCCCCTAGCGCTGCCAACCTGGCTGCAGGCTTCCTCTCACCCACTGCCTGGGAGCTGCCCTCAGGCTCTGGCACCCCTTCACCTCCAGCTGGGAGGAAATGAGCCACCTTCCAGGATCGGTGTGCGGCCAGATCCTGCCCGGGGAGGGAGGGAGGGGTAGCGCCTGCACACCGACGCGGCTCTGGAGCCTCTCCAAGGCCAGCAGCAGGTTTGCTGAGACGCCACCCTGCTGGGGAATGCACCTGCCCGGGCGAGAGGTGAGGGCTTGCAGCCTATCGCTGGTGCTGCCCGCGCCGCACCAGGAAGGGGAGCGGGCAGCAGCACCTGCTCCTTGGCAGGCGGCTGCCGGAGGAAGGGAAGAGATTCTCCCGGTGAGCTCCCTCGTTAGCTCGATCCAGTGGAAGGAAAGCCAGGAAAAGCCACTGCTGCCAGGCAGGAGCAGGGACAGTGCAGCGCTGCCGTGTGCGGGCAGCATCTGCCGCAGGTGAGTGAGCCCTCCTCTCCGGGACCGTGCTGTGCGGGAAGGGCCGGGCTGCATCAATAGGTGATGGCAGGCTGGGGGCTTCTTCGGACATACTTCTAAAGAGATCTGCCTCTCGCTTCACATTATTTCTTCCTTGCACCATCGTGTCTCCTCTCAGCACATAAGGAAGTTTCTTGTTCCTTCAGGACTCCTAGGCTCCCCCTGGCAGAGGTGCATCAGAACAGTCTCCGTCGGGTCAGAATGATGCCTGCCTTTTATGAATACCGGGAGGAAGGGGTACACGAGTCTTTATAATGGAGCATGCCAAAGCTATCTAGACCTCTGTAAAAAGCACCTGTGTGCTGACCCTGTTACAAGAAGTCCTCCACCATCCTTACTTACCCTTAGAGCCTCTAGGCTGAGTGGAAGGAAGGGGCAGTCATCTATCACCCAGGGCTTCCCCAGGGATTCACAAATGATGTCTGGTGGCAGGAGTGCTGGTGGGACAGACTTGCTTCTGGGAAAGCATTATCCCTCTGGTGGGGTAGGGAGGGTAGGCTCCCCCCACGAGGTACAGATTAGACAGCATAGGTTTGCATGGATTTTGAGCAGCCCCAGAAAGGAGGAGCACAGGGAATTGGTTGATGTAGTACCCAAAGGAGTGTGGTGGATCTGTTGCTAGGATTTTGGGTGAGACAGACAGATGCCACATAAAAGCCTCATTACTCCAATTCCCTGCAAGTTTCTCTATCCCTGTTTCTGAGTTCTTAGGAGAAGAGCGGGGACCCTCTCAGTCGTCCCAAGGCAGGAATGTCCCTGCTCCCAGGGGCACAGACAGGCCTTGAGCTCCACAACTTTCAGATCTTCTGATTTGTGTGTTGACTGTAATTCAGCCATAAAACAAGGTACATGAGCTTCGGTCTCTTGGAGCCTACGAGGGAGTTAGAATAGAATAGAATATGCTTAGGAAGCATTTCTTTACCGAGAGGGTGGTCAAACACTGGAACAGGCTTCCTCCAGAGGTGGTCAATGCCTCACACCTGTCAGTGTTTAAGAGGCATTTGGACAATGCCCTTAATAACATGCTTTGATTTGGTCAGCCCTGAATTGGTCAGGCAGTTGGACTGGATGGTCATTGTAGGTCCCTCCCGGCTGAAACAGAAGAGAGCAGAGCAGAACAGAACAGGTTGGAATAAACTGGAATAGACTTGACTGGAATGGACTAGGATAGGATAGGACAGGACAGGACAGGACAGGACAGGACAGGACAGGACAGGATAGGATAGGATAGGATAGGATAGGATAGGATAGGATAGGATAGGATAGGATACTTCAGTTGTTAAGGGACCTACAACAATTCAGGACAGACCAAGTTAAAGCATGTTATTAAGGGCATTGTCCAAATGCCTCTCAAACACTGTCAGGCTTGGGGCATGAACCACCTCTGTAGGGAGCTTGTTCCAGTGTTTGACCACCCTCTTGGGAAACAAATGCTTCCTAAAGCACTGTTGCATCTGTCTGTCTCTCTTCCTAAAGCACTGGGAGTTGGAAAAATCACATGAAAGGATAGGAAAATATTTATGCCTTCTGGACTAGAGATTTCTGTGAGGCACAGAGTGGTAGCAAGTCCATCCCAAACAGGGACGGCTATGGCCAGACCTGGCCAAGAAGCACATAAGCTATGATGGACTGGAGAAGCAGAGGAAGGAGATGGCTTGTGTCTGTCTGAGATTGTGAGGCTCTGTTGATCTCATCTGGATTGCTCATGCAAAGCG